ATCCCAAGTCCAATGGGTAGTAGCCTAGGCCTCTTGGTCGAATGTATAGGTCAAGTGCCTCAAGCTGATCAGTCCGTTGTCAGTAATACAAAATGAACAACAGTTCTGGAGACTTCTACATGCATGGCGATTAAGAAAAGCCATAAAAGAAAGCTCTTCTGTTAAACCCAAGAACTTCTTTAACTTAGTCGTTAATCCGCACCAACACTTTTCGAAGGTTCACAGTGTGTATTGTCTCGTGCGGGTCGAGCGTAGGTCAAGCGATTGAAGCGAAACTAGTGACCATTATTTATCAATGATGGAAATTAACAACAATAGTGGAGACTTTCTTTGGGGATCAACACTGAGTCACTAAAAGAAAAGTCTTCTGTTGAAAGCCAAGGTCTTAAGCCTTTAGTTCATAACACCACCCTTCCTACTTTCACAATGTGTATTGTTTCGTGTAGGTCGAGTATAGGTCCATCCATTGAAGTAAATACCTAATTTCTATCGATGATGCAAAATGAAGAACAGTTTTTAAGACTTTTCATAGGGATTAACACTTAGCCATTCAAATGGAGCTTTTCTGTTTGAAAGCCAAGGATATTTTCCGTCTTTAACAGATTATCAGAAGGAAAATGCCTCATGTGAAGTAGACTTTACTTAGAATTCTCTATCTTAAGCATTTAGTCATTTTGAAGGTCATATCAATTGACGGTCAGACAAAAATATGATTGTTCGAATCAAGTAATATATAAAATTATTACATATATATACATATATATATATATATATATATATATAACTTTAAGGGTTCGTCTTCATAAGATGTGAACATACACCGCACACTATATACATCTTAACGGGATGATATCATAATAGAAATATCGAGGCACTTTAAAAGTATATATACCACATATACGCACATGCTCACGCACAAACACACACACACCCACACACAAAAACGTACACCCCTACATACATACAGACTTGAAGGAGTCCAACTAGTTTATGATCTGGGTGCAAATTCGAACTTTGATTGTACGATAGACTCATTTCAACTGTTGATTGCTTCAAATGAACACAGAGGCCTTCCGAGAGCTCTTAAAGAAGCTTTAAGAGAAGAGCATACTCGTCACACGAGGGGACCTGTGCTAGCTACCTGTCAGTCATGACGGTCTAAATTTCACCCTTTTCAGGGATTCTAGGGAGAGAGAGGGATAGAGAGAAAAATCATATTTGCCTCTTTTTCTTCTTCAATAGACCTTGAAACAACATTTAATTATACATACGTCTTTGCGAAGAGCATCGATATAAACAATTTATTCACCAGTAATGAATAATTATATTTCAAAAGTAGGAATTCAAAATGCGTATAATAAGTGTTGTAAGGTAGGGCAAGACATAGGCCAGAATTCACAAAGGAGGTTTGTCGACAAACCGAGGTTTATGTACGTCAAATGACGCGTTTTGACGCGTTTTTTACAAACCTGGTTGGTAAAAACGCGTCGAAACGCGTCATATGATGCACGAAAACCAAGGTTTGTCGACAAACCTCCTTTGTGAATTCGGGCCATAATGTTTGTCCTATTTGGAAATAGATAATGTTTGCAGTTCGCATTATGACTGTTGAAATACAATTATTCGTAACAGATGAATGAAATAATTCGTATCGAGGCACTTCAAAAAGATGTATGCATTATATTTGGTTACATTACGAAAATGGTCTGTGCGGTTAGATTTGCCCCGATGGAGCTGAAACAAGATTAAACAGAGACAAATTTAACAAAGCCCACTGGTAAAAACTGTAAGATTAGGTGCAGCAGTGCGTTGAATTGATTGAATTGTTAGACAGGCTTAACAAATTTTATTACTGTGTTTGTTTATTTCAAGAGGATATTCTGTTTCTACGAAAGCATATGACAAATCGTGGTTTAATTGTACCTCTAAAAAATAAAACACTATCAACAACAATTTTAAACAAACACAAATAATAATAACAACATCATCAACACCAGCAAATCTAACATCGTCATAAAACAGTAATCTTACTACACAACCTGTCTTTAAAACATAATCCTTTTGACATTTACTTAGCTGTCAGGCATTTTAAAATTACATTTCACTTTATCATATTATTTCTTTCTCTATAATCAAACATTACAACATATTTTGTTGTCTGTATCAATGTCTAAAAATGTTTTTCTTCATATCTAAAATAGTTCTAATATGAAATAACTTCGTATTTACGTATAAGATATAACAATTTATTGTATATTTACATCTTGCAATTTCAATTTGGATGCTCGATTTCGTTTTGTAACGTTACATGATTTGTACGATCAATTCTGAATTCTATTGAATTGTGCCTATAAGGCGGTGTTACACAGAGGCCAAAAATCCGGATTTTAGTTATCCGGATTTTAGTTATTCTCTTAATTGCTGTCTGTCACCAATTATCCCATTAAAAATCCTCGAACGGAGCAAGAAAATTCTCCCTTGAAAAATCCGTTTTTAAGGGATTTTCTGTGTGACACCGCTTATAGACTTAATATGTGGATTTCTCCTTCCTTTGCTTTCAATAGTAAGTTTCACTTATTTATAACATGGACCTACTACTACTACTACTGTAGTAGGTCCATGTTTAAAATAATCAGTGAATTATGACTAAACCGATTTAATTCATGCTTTATCTGTAGAAATGATTATATCTGCAACAAGACGGTTTATTTTCGACTTTAATTCAGCTTTAGACCATAACATCAAAGCATTCATGATGCATTTGCTCCTGAGAAATTCTCATTAAATTTGTGAGCGACCTTTGTCAAAAGCTAAGTCAGAATAGATTAACTATCATTAAAAGCACATTAAGTTGACGTGTTCGTTACCTGCGGTAACAACGCGGTCGTAAAAAAGTCTTGTCCTAAAATTGAATAAATGAATGAATGACAAGATATCAATAATAATTAGCTCCCAGAATCATATCAATTATCCTTTGAGAGGACTTAATAATCCTATACACCGGTCTCTGTTGCTCTCTTTCATAAATTTCTTTCTGACTTTCAGCAAGTTTCACGCATGTAGGTTCATTGGCCAAAACTGGTAAAAAATATAACGTAAACAATTCCCAACTATAACCCTATTACACGAAAGTATAACCTATTTCCCCTCGCTTTTCTCACTTTCTTATCAGATTCGTCTTACTCGTACTTTTAGCTGTTCTTTCTTGTTCCCTTACTATATATCTTTCACGCTTTATAGATTATGTTTATATTGTTCATTTCATGGTCCAGTCCGTCCTCTCTCTAATAATCGTTTTAAAAACATTATATTAAATGATTGTACAAGTGATAACAATTTGGATACGCTTCCATATTTGTCCAGAATCAAATAGACGTAATAAATGTGTTTTTCAGTTTTATTTCTAAGGACAAATGTATTGATTTAAAAAGATAAATCTTTCCATTTTTACAAATACGCTTGTCACTGACTTCTAGTAACAATTTTACGTAAATGTTTAGAAGGAAAAAAAGTAATTCCATTATCAACGTTGAATTCAATCTATTGATAGAATGAAAATTTACCGTGATAATTTCTTACCAATTACTTAAATATTCATCATGTAGTATATCACATATTAATGACGAAAAGAACATGTGAAATCAACAACGCAAATTGTTACCATAATTTTTTTGTCAGGCTTATACTTATAGTAAACTAAAAATGTGTACATCTTAAAAGTAGGGTTCTCTAAAATAATTTTTAAAAAAGGAAAATAAACACACTGCAGAAAAAAAAAACTTCTTAGATTAGCGTAGGACATAGATTTAGAAAAGGAAAATTAGAAGGATCCTACTTAGGGAACGTCATGTATTGCAGACGTCCATTGTAACCATTATATTAACTACTGTTTTCTATTATTGATTAAAAAAGAACGTAGAGAAGCAACGAGACAAAAGGTTTCCTTATAAATGAAGAAGAAAAAAACTAAATGTGAAGGGGAATAACCTTACAAGATCAATTAAAATCAAGAAGACATGTCAGTCAGGGAGATTTAGAGAACTTCCTCCTTCGCTACTACTACTAATACTACTACTAATACTACTACTACTACTTCCTATCATACTACAACAACAACTACTACTAGAATTATTACTATTACTACTACTTCTACTTCTTTTCTCCTACTACGCAGTCTTTTATTAGATACTCAAGTGAATTGTTTGATGTTTTATCCTGTCAAATAACTATTTTAAAAATCATGATAACGTGGGCATGTGCATCATAATCATTACCTGGCCATGTACCTCGCCTATTAGTGATTTACTAGACGTGTCTCATTGATCTCAATTACATTCAGAGTCATGTACCTACGACATGGTGCCAAGCAATACACCAGGCATCAAATCGATCTCTTACAAAACAATGCGATGAACATGCCCGATATAAAACAATGTGCCTGAACATGGTTCGTGAGTTCAAAGGAATCTCTTTGTTTGAAACATCTCCCGCGTAGACACTAACACTACGTTACCATCATCAATCGATTTGATGCAAATATACAAGGACAGACGTGACATTATTTATGGGGTGGGGGTAGGTCATGTTTTTTTTAACGACGGAAATAATGCAACGACAACTCTTTACAGAAATTCTCGTGTTGCTCTGTACGGTAGAAACATTAATTATTACGAAACACTCTTTTATGCTTTTCTGTGGTTAGAACTACGTGTATGTCAAGTATTGAAACCTTTCTTGATAGAAACAAAATATAACCCTTCAGTGAATTATCCACCTGCTAACTATTCAACCCACATACACTTGCGGAGATTTCAGAACTCAGAATTCAAAATATCATATTGAACTCTAAATTTTCCCTCTCCAAACTGTGGAATAAGCTTAATAAACCGTTCATTGGGTATACAAATGAAAGTGCTTTTGTGTTATTGCTTTCTGTGTGAAGTGAAAAGCTGGTACAGTGCTTTATATCTAAATTGATTCTTATGATTTATATTTTTCAGAGTCCCGAAGATCATTCGCCAGTGATGATGACAGCACCGGATACATCTCCATGGAAACGGTCCAAAATTCCCTCATCGAAAACATATCTCCAGACGACCGATACGGTCACTCCCGTGGCCCTCATTCTATTCGCAAACAACAACCTCATCAGCTGCAACACGACTCGCAACACCACCAGCAACACGATGGGTATCATCATTACCATCAACAGCAACCACCGCAGCCGCATCCGCCGCATCAAATGCCAAATTGTAGGGTTGAAAGGAATTCCGTTGCAGACTGCAGCCCGCCCCCTACGAATTCCCCAACGAGGGAGTTTGACAACCCCGAACACTCGGAAGCCATGCGCGAAAGCTTCAACAACAGTTACAGCAGCGGAAGCGCAGAGAGGTCAAAGTTCGAGGAAGTATCGAGCGAAGAGAAACGTCGTGACAACAGCCTCTATGACATTGAAGAAGCACGCGAACAGGCTGATGAAGTCCCAGACGCCCCGGAGGAGTCTGATTGCAATAAAAACTCTCGAGGGAAGGAAGGCGACGCCAAAGGAACGTCCCAATGCAAAGATGATGTAAATAATCATATCGTTCAAACACCACTGGTGAATGAGGAAAATGTTAAAGAAAACGAGAACGATGATGCCAAAGAAAAAGCTCTAGAGGAGAATGGACAAAACGTATCCGACGTCGAGGAGGAAGATGATAAGAACGGCGAGGAGGATGACGGTGATGACTACAGCGAAGACAGTTATGAGGAAACCGTACCGGAATATCAGAAGGCACCGATATCGACGAAAATGAGGGTTAAAAACTGGCTGGCCGGTTTGCAAAAGACCGGAAATGAGAGCTCCGCGCGCATAGATAGATTCTTGCCAGAAATCATGTGACCTTTCAACTGACCCGAACTTTGACATTTTACGTTCGATCTTTGATAAGAAGTTGATTATACATGCATAGGCTTTATATATGTCCTCTGTCTTCCGTTTGTGGCTGAAATGGTATTATGGACACATAGTTTGTCAAGCTTTTTAGATGCATATTACTCCTTCTTCCCACCAATGTTCTTTTTCAAAACTAACGGTTGTAGTAAGTGGAATAATTATAATCGTATGGAATTCAGCTAAATATCTCACATGATTTTTTATTAATAATGTAACTGTCAGGTGATAACAGATGTTATATTTCTCTTGGAATATTTTGTTATTCTTCTTTGATTCAAGTAATAAATTATTTCATTGTTGGGTATTTCGACTCTCAAAATTATAACGCTAAATCTCGTAAAACTGCCGAGGGTATCTAAGCAAATTTATATTTAAACTGACACTTATTTCCTTCTAATTGACAACTTTGCACACAAAAAAGAATATAACAGTAAAGTAACTAAATTCAGAAAGTCGGCGGCAAAAATCCGGAATGCAAATGCTTGTGTTGGGAATGAATATTTAAAAATAAGGACAGATTTCTGTAAAAAATGAGAGGAGAGTAGGGCATAGAGTATACGCTCATTTTAATATTTCATGTTCATACCTACTATTCAGTATACTGTTTCGAGCCTTCTGTACTAAGTAAGAGGTGTTTACTATCACACCATCACACGCTAAAGATTGCAGTGTACTAGAATATTAATAAGAATAGGCAGCATACATCTCATTTTAAAAGCTGATACGACTTCGCTTTGCCGACTGCAATCGAGTTCTCTTGACTTTCATTTTGACATCAATAGACTGACTTGCCATCACAAATTGCATCATTGGAAAACAGAAAAGAATTAGCAACCCTTTGAGTTGAATATTCCATGGATGTCTTTAACAAAATTAATCTTGCACTTGTTGCAATCTCGCTCCGTTAAGGTTTATTTCATTTTGATAGGCCAAGGCATTTCTAAGATTCTGTATTGCTTGAAGTGTGTTTCCATCCGTTTTCTTGGTCAGGATATGACCAGTTAAGTTCTACGTGTGAACTAACTTTCTTGTCCTAAAGTTGATATGTAAGGCTGTGAACGTGCAGACATTTTCCGATCTCTCTGACGACGTCTTTGCTCTTGATTAAAGCCTACATCTAAAACCGTATGGATGGCACAAGTCTGTCTCTTTACAGTCTGGTGAGGACAACAACAAATAAAGACTAGAAATTTAATTCGTCATGGGGACGAATTAGGTGGTCTGTCTTCACTTCTTATGATAGATTTGAGAATGGGAGAAATTATGTAGACATGTAAACAATATTGATCATGATGAACATGATGATGATCATGATAATAATGGTGATTATGATGATAATGATAATGTTAGATGATCCTTTAATCGCAAAATTACGCCATGATGCCTTTCTAAAAATGAAAAATTGTGAAACTGTACTCGTAGAGAATTGTCTCAGTTAGAACATATCCAAATTTGGTGGAAAATCGATCAATATTTACAGAGATACAATCAATTTTCTAAAAATATGCTGACGTCATAATAAGCAAATAGAAATTTTGAGTTCAAAGGCCGTTATGATGACGTCATGAGTTTATTGAGGGTCAAATGAGACATGATATCATATCTACCATTCATACTCTATCAAAATATGAAAATAAAATTAGGGATCAACGGGCATCTTAAAGAGCTACAATGGATTTTGTATAGGTATGATTTTTCCCATATAAGCTATGTATTACAAGAGTTAACACGCAAGTACATGTATCTTAAACGGACGCTCATTCCGTTATTAATGTTCACAAAAAGGTGAACAAGGTATCAAAATGCTTGGGAAAATGTGCCAAATATGATGAACGGGAAAATTCGGCGATTCTATGTTGCAAAAAGCCACGACGCGCGAAAACGCGCGCATGCGCGTGTGCGCATTTTTTTTGCGAAATGCTTAAAATGACCTGATTCGTACTCTCGTTTAATAGTTAAGTGATTTTGAGCATTTTTTAATTTTGACGCGCGCATACGCGCGTGTCATGACCTTTATGTGACCTTTGATGACACGACCTGTTGACCCTTGACCTGAAGTATATGTGATATGAATATGAATGACCTTTGATGACGCGTCATGAAGATATGATGGATAATGTGATTTCACAAAATGGCGCCTGGATGACGTCATGAAGATTTGATGACCTTGAAAATGTTACTGTCACGTCTCATGACAATGACCTATGACTGTGCCAAAATTGAACGAAATTGACTAAACTGATCTTGAGTTATCCTAGGCACAAAAAAGTGGGGAGAAATAAATAAAAATAAATAAAGAAAGAAAAATCCTGACGAAACTAATAGGTGATCTGTCGATGACAGACCACCTAATAACTTTTGTTTCAAAGTGAAATTTATCAATTTCTCAAATGGAAAATGACATCTGCGTCGTTCTGGACAGCAATTCTATGAATTCCTGGCTCGGTGGTTGGGACATTATAGTTAGAGGGAATGAAAATGTCTAGAAAGACACGGCCATGGTCTTAACGTTATTTATTTTGGGTAGCTTGGGTGTTTCTTTGTTGTTGTTTACCTTGCCTGACAACCAAATATGAAATATCTGCTCACTTTTTTCTCTTGATGTGTTCCTCCCAACCTCACAACCTCACAACATGACGACGTATGCGTTAATAATAACGGATTCCATTTGATCCGCGAGATAGCATTTAATGTGTAAACAGAATGGATACAGCAATTATCCTTTGTGTCAAACAAAGACAGTTTTATAGCTTTGTGAATATGTAAAGTGTTGACTTACTTGGCATGGATTGTCAATTTTTTAATATTAATTCTTATATAAAATTATTTCGGAGTGAAAGTGCATAAATATATATATATATGACTATGAAGCAACAATACAAGTTTTTATGGTATTTTTTGGGGACGTGGCCGTTACGAGCGTTGTAAATGTCTGTGTATTTATGTGCGTGCGTGCGTGTGCGCGTGTAATGCATCGCTGTCGCAGTAGTGAGCGTAAATATATGTGTGTGTGCGTGCGCGTGTAGTGCGTGTGTGTGAGTGCGTGTTTGTGTGTCTGTGTGTGTGCGTTTGTATGAATGTGCATAATCATGTGGGTGCGCGTACGTTAGCCTAGGATGTGTGTGTGTGTGTTATAGTACAGGGCCTCGTTTCATAGAACAAACACGTTGCAAAAACTGTTATAAGCTACTGAAATCGTCGCATTTGATTGATTGAGAGCAAATTTGCCATAGAAATTTAGTATTTGTTATTGATATCAAATTTTATGAAACATGGCCTAGATAACGAAGGAGAGTTCGCGTCAGAATATTATAGAGTGTGAGCATGTGTGTGTGAGGGTGAGTTTAGGTGGGAAGGGGGGGGGGGTGGTTCATGATTCTTTAAATTCTTGGTTGCCAGATAATGAGATAAGGTTATCCAGGTTATGATGTATATGTCATTGATGGTAAAAGAAAAAATGGAAAGAGAGAAGAGCAAAATTGTGCCTCGTAGATGAATCACTTTTCAAATCTAAATTCTACACCGCTCGTCCAGAGTAGTGTGAAATGATTCTTATATACCAAATTCATAAAAGGGTGCGGTCTATTGTTGCCAGTATTTAAAGCTGGAACACTAAACGCTCTCTCGGATTTTCCGATTCTGTTGCCCAGAGGGGGCAATAGTAAAAATATAAGAAGCAAAGACAGTGGATGTGCTAAAGTGGTGTTTCTCATTGAAAAGTGTTTAAACTATATTCTTGATATCTTGAAAAGAAAGTTACGAGAAGGACGGCTCTGTGTTTATTTTGATGTGATATTAAATTTTGAAAGGCGTAAATACAGTTATGCCAGAGTTCAACCCTATCTTTAAGAGCTTGTCTTTCAGATTCTGGTCATGTCTGACGTCATGAAACTTGATCTGACTGAGTGCTACAGTGTGATGGCGCTGTTTCATATTTGATTTAAAACTTCATTGATACCTGATAAGCATGATACCTGTCGTGCAACTGACCTGCTGACCGTGCGAACTGTCTTGGTCTTGTAGCCTGTATAGCTTAACTCGACTTGATGGACGCTGTTTGGGTATAACGGGGCCTGTGAAGTGCCCCTAGTATGACCGTCGCTCTTTATCCGCGTCGAATGGCGAAAAAGAGAGATTTAAGAAGGAAGGAGAAATAGAAAATGGAAGGGGAAGGTAACGGAAAGGTAAAGGAAATCCGACCCTGAAAACAGCCTCTTCTTTGCATTTAAATAAAATCTTACCTTGAGAGATTAGTGCCACCTCAATAGCTGAACCCACGCTACACCCATTATCACAGGGGGGTCTATTCGCTATTCATAAGGACCGCTATTCATAAGGTCCGCTATTCATAAGGACCGCTATTCATAACGTGCAAATTCCCGTACTTCCTGGTCCGCTATTCATAATGGTAAAAGAGGGTCGCTATTCATAAAGAAATAAGGTTCGTTAATCATAAGGACCGCTATTCATAACGTGGGATGAGGGTCGCTATTCATAATTCATATTAAGGGTCATTAATCATAAGGACCGCTATTCATAATATGAAATCAGGGTCGCTATTCATAATACGACGAGAGGGTCGCTATTCATAATACGAAATAAGGTTCATTACTTATAAGGGTCGCTATTCATAACACGTGAAGAGGGTCGCTATTCATAATACGAAATGAGGGTCGCTATTCATAATAGGAGAAGAGGGTCGCTATTCATAATAGGAGAAGAGGGTCGCTATTCATAATACGAAATGAGGGTCGCTATTCATAATAGGAGAAGAGGGTCGCTATTCATAATAGGAGAAGAGGGTCGCTATTCATAATAGGAGAAGAGGGTCGCTATTCATAATAGGAGTAGAGGGTTGCTATTCATAATACGAAATGAGGGTCGCTATTCATAATAAGAAATGAGGTTCGCTAATCATAATAGGAGAAGAGGGTCGCTATTCATAATACGAAATGAGGGTCGCTATTCATAATAGGAGAAGAGGGTCGCTATTCATAATAGGAGAAGAGGGTCGCTATTCATAATAGGAGAAGAGGGTCGTTATTCATAATACGAAATAAGGTTCATTACTTATAAGGGTCGCTATTCATAACACGGGAAGAGGGTCGCTATTCATAATACGAAATGAGGGTCGCTATTCATAATAGGAATAGAGGGTCGCTATTCATAATAGGAGAAGAGGGTCGCTATTCATAATAGGAGAAGAGGGTCGCTATTCATAATACGAAATGAGGGTCGCTATTCATAATAGGAGAAGAGGGTCGCTATTCATAATAGGAGAAGAGGGTCGCTATTCATAATACGAAATGAGGGTCGCTATTCATAATAGGAGAAGAGGGTCGCTATTCATAATAGGAGAAGAGGGTCGCTATTCATAATAGGAGAAGAGGGTCGCTATTCATAATAGGAGTAGAGGGTTGCTATTCATAATACGAAATGAGGGTCGCTATTCATAATAAGAAATGAGGTTCGCTAATCATAATAGGAGAAGAGGGTCGCTATTCATAATACGAAATGAGGGTCGCTATTCATAATAGGAGAAGAGGGTCGCTATTCATAATAGGAGAAGAGGGTCGCTATTCATAATAGGAGAAGAGGGTCGCTATTCATAATACGAAATAAGGTTCATTACTTATAAGGGTCGCTATTCATAACACGGGAAGAGGGTCGCTATTCATAATACGAAATGAGGATCGCTATTCATAATAGGAGAAGAGGGTCGCTATTCATAATACGAAATGAGGGTCGCTATTCATAATAGGAATAGAGGGTCGCTATTCATAATAGGAGAAGAGGGTCGCTATTCATAATAGGAGAAGAGGGTCGCTATTCATAATACGAAATGAGGGTCGCTATTCATAATAGGAG